GCGCCCCCAGGTGCCAGGGGAAGAGAGATGCTACTTCTCAGCCTGACTGTGTCCTTGTACATTCCATCCACACGCTGTGGCCGGGAGAGGACGTCTTCAGTGGCACTCACTAGACATTAGCAAACCATACAGAAAAGATGTCCAAGCCAAGCGCACAACAGCCTGGCTCTTTCTCTGCTTCTGAGAGGACAGACACACACACCTAGACTACTGCAAACCTGACTTCTCAAGACAGTGTGTTCCAAAATTTCTTGCAGCCTATGAATCCAGACTGCAGCTCACTGACTTACACGGCATTTACTAAGACGTGGTACTTTGGCAAAGCTTGGGAGTTCGAATGTGGGGGATTTACCATTCGTTATTGGATTTTCAACATAATGTGGCAGTGACATAAATTACCAGGTAGACTCCGCTCAAAGTGGCAGCCTAATAATCACAGCTAGATGCTGATGTAGTAGCCGTTGGCACAGACACATCCCTGGGGGCTGTGGGACTTGCTGCAGAGACGAAGAGAGTCATAAATATGGCGGGGAGACCCTTTGACAGTCCCCGGGGGCCACCCTTCTCCCTGGAGCTTCAGCTCAGGTGGTTTCTCTGTGATCAGTGCTGAAGAAAGTGAGTTCGATTTCCACCGGAGCAAACATTTGGGAGGTAGAAATTTGCGGTGAACAGGTACATTGTGTGCACGCTTGTTGTGTGTGTGAGGAACAGATGCATGTGAGGTTAGGAAGATACAGACCTGAGTAGAGGAGGCACAGGGTGTATCTGAGGTAAAGAAAGCCAGGGGCTGTACACAGGGTGGAGAAGGGCTGCGGCTTTACCTGGGGTTGTAACGATACCACAGACACAGCTACACGGGCCCTGTGGCCATGCAGAATGGTAGCCTTCGGGCCTTATTTTGTACCTCCAACACTGCATGGTATTTCCTATCATCTCCGAGCTTATAAATTACAAATCTGACTCAACAGAGACAGTTGGTAAAAAGATCGCGCCTAAGGTTGGGTCACGTTAATGCCATGAGTTTTACAACCTTGTGTAAAGTTTGTCTTCATGTTGCTTTCCCATGTTTTAGCTCATTTAATTTTTGCCGCACTATGAAGAATCATTGTTCTGATTTTCTGAAAGGAAATAAAGATCCAGAAAAGCTGGGAAATGTGTTGAAGGCCGCCGAGTTAGTTAGCTAACTGGGTCTGCAGCCTGTCCAGAGGCTCAAGAACCTTTCCTACCATACTTGCACCCTCTCCCCAGGAGGCCTGGAAAGAAGGAGCAGAACTTACTCCTGCTTGATGCTGTACAGGGCCTGCAGCTGCCTGGTCCTGTGTTGGCATATGGCAAATGGAGTCAGAGTGAGAGTCTTCCCCTTCATGCTCAGTCCACATTGACGGAGTCTGGAGATGCAGAGCCAGCAGGTCTAGGGGCCTCCACTCCCCAAGCTGTCATGGAGCATAGCACAAGTTCATTAAACCTGGATTATTTAATGATAGTTAATAAGATAAACGCCCTCCCAGAAGCCAACAGGACTTGATACTGCCATCTCTTAACTGGCGCTCGGGGGCTGATGAGGCGCTTCCTGCCACCAGAGAGAGGGTCTTTGAGGCTCTGAACAATAATGGGATGCACAGTTGCCTGTGAAGATACCGTTAACACAGGATTTCTAAAAACAAATTAATGCGTCAGCACCCACACATGGCAGGCTGGCTTTTATACAACTAGAGAACTTAAAGCCCTTGACAGAAAACAGCATTTACCCCCAGACCTGAGGCCCTTTGAAGCCCAGGGTCCTCTGGCATATTTTAGGATCAGTGCCCAAAGTCACAGCCCTCACACAATACATGTTTCAGAAAGGATCTGATTTCTCAAGATAGCTTAAATGAGCAGAGAACGCTGCGTTGGGTGTGGAGACTCCTCGTTTGGAGGAAGCTGCTTTTCAATAACCGTGGCAGTCTTTGCTTGGAATAAACTGCAGTTTTAGCCCTGACCATGTCTCCCCCAGCTAAGGAACATATTAAATATAGACTACCTGCAGACTCTGACCTGCTTTTAAGCCCCTAGAGAGTGGGCCTGTGAGCCGAGTTTCCTGACAGAGTCATTGGATCAAATGTTTACACCTGAGCACACCCCACACTGGAGTATGGACAAGAGGCCCCTGAAGGCCTTTAAAGCAGCCATGTTCATTACCAAAACCCTGTCCCCGTCATTCTGAAGACTTGTTAAAAGCAAAAAGAGTAAAGAACCAATAAAATCCCAGGCAGCTAGAAAGAAAACACATATGCATTACTGTACGTTGAGTATTTGTATCGTTACTCAGTCTGGGATTCACTTACGATGTTCATATTAACAATTTTCATCTTTCCTCAAGCTTCGTTTGTTTCCGAGTGTAGACCGGGTCTAGCAAATTCATCGGTTAGTAGCTGTGGTTTAATGATATGGTTGCTGTGTGGGGGCACAATCCTGAGAAGGGAAAAGCTCTGGGCTTGAGATCCAGCTGCTGTAAGTAGATGTGTGCTTTAACTCAAAGTGACCGTGACAAGCCCTGAACTAATTGTCAGAGTAAAACTGGTGGTAAAAGGCTAAACAAAAATGAAAGGCAGGAAAGTAAATGCTGAATTTGCTCTGAAATGCAGTGGCTAGCTATTATTAGATACACTCATAAATAGTTTTATTTTTTAATATTATCGCCAATTTCTATGGGAACAAATATTGTTACTGTCCAGGTCTAAAATTATGCAGCTTTGAAATAGTGGCTTTACTTTGGAGTTTTGAACATGGCGAATTTCTTAGCAGTGTAGCCATTACATAAAAACAGAAGGGGTTGTGAACGCATCTTCAGCCGTGTGTCAGAGATACAGAAGCGGAGACTAGGCAGCAACTGGCTAAGGGTAAAAGCAACGGCTTTCTGTGTGCAGACTGTGTCCAGCTGGAGGTCGCTGTCAGCCGGAAGAGTCTGCCCGGGAAATCCAGCTTCAGCTGCTTTTCGGCCACTTTTGAGCGTACCCTATTCGCCAACATTCGGAAGGGCCTACAGGTGTGTAAGTCATCAGAGCTTGAGACAGATGCTCAATGCCAGTGGTCAGCTGGTGAAAGGGCGACTTGACTCCAGACAGACTTCAGTCGGCCACAAGGCTGTGTCATCACCACGCTTAGAGCACGCCTGTCCTCAGAACCTCATCTTTCAAACTTGGCTAGAAAATTCCCTCGCTTACAAAGACGTCTGACATCTGTCCGGAAGGTAGAGGCGCCCTTCTCTGGGACTTCCCTTGCACTCCCACACCTGTGGAGCAGTGACCTGACGTGTGGCATGGGTGTGCCTACTTCTCCATCAACATTGTTCCTGTCATCTTTACAGGCCCTGGCTCACCACCCCATTGGTTCAAATGATCACTTCAGTGCGTTTGTGTTTTTAATATTCTTTGTTGAATGAATTCAACAAATTACTGTTGTTAAATGAATATGCCTAAAGCTATTTAAAAACTGATCATTAGAGCTTCTTGAAGTGGTTTATGAGATGGTCAAAACACTGCTAAGTGGTCCATGAATATTGATGAATATATGACAGGAATAAGATTTGGGGTGCAGGAAATTGCAAGATGTACTTCAGGGCACTTGGGTCTCGTAGAACCATTTGTAGAGCTCATTCTAAACATCCGGCCTAAAATGCCTTCATCCTCTAAGACTGTGTGCAATGGATCAGCGTCAGGAGTGCCTTTTGCAACTTGGCTACAACCAGTTAATAACAGGATTTATGGATTCTGAGTTTGCCTGCTTAGATAACCCCTCGTGAGGTCTGCAGTTGCTATAATGTGTGTAGGTGGTTAGCACCACAGCCTGCTTCTCCAGACACATGACCATCATGGCATAGCATTCTTAATGAAGGGGGAGAGGCATCTTGGATAGGAGTGTGAACGTGGTCCAGCTCCTACCAGTGAAGGGAGCTGCCTAGGTCCTGCGTGTTCCCAGGTCATGGGGCAGAGGCAGCACCCACAGGGACAGCTAACCCAGTGAGGCCGTTTCAGCTGAGGGTTAATTTTAGTTTAATTCTCTTTCCTTTTGTCACATAAACTCCTTTCAAGTTGAAAAAGTTCTAATTTTATTTTAGATTCCCAGGACCCATGGAAAGCATGCCTCCTTCCACAGGCCCACGGATCTGCTTCTCCCCTGCTCTGACCTAATTCACCTGGGTTCTAATTCTGCTTTAATCTGCTTCCCAGGATTTTTTTCTGAGGGATTAACCTTTCATCTGACTGCACTATGAACATGGAGCAGGTGGAAAGGAAGCCTGCCTTTGCCAAGAATAATTCTGCTATTTTCAATAGCTGTCAAGGCCCCTTATAGTTAATCAATAAAATAGCATGTGGCAGAGGGGATTAGGAAACAAAGTGAGCTGTGCTTTTGCAGTTTAGAATTAGACTTTTCTTTAAAAACGTTCTCTCCATCTTCCTCCCTCCTGTTTCCCCTCCTTCCTTCCTCTCTCCCTCCCTCTCTCCTTCCCTCCCTCTCTCCCTCCCTCTCTCCTTCCTTCCTCCCTCTCTCACTCCCTCCCTCCCTCCCTCTCTCCCTCCCTCCCTCTCTCCTTCCTTCCCTGAAATAAACAGTAACACTGCCTACAGTCTCCTCTCAAATTTTCAGGGCAATGGTGGACATCACTGCAGAAGAAAAGCTAAGTCCTTGACGCTTGGAAGTGGCCACCAGCCTCCTGAACCCGGCTCCAGCACCTCCTGGCAGAGCCTCTGTGTGACACACTTTCTTTAGCTTAAATTAGTCCAAATGCAACTTTGGCATATTTTGCCCTAAAAGGAGGAGCTCTGCTCTCTGCTCCAGCACAGCATTGATACGTCGTGGGCAGATGTGGAGAGTTGTGACAGGCACACACAGGCAGTGATGCCCATGGGCTTCTGGGTGGCCTCTAGGCTGCTCACCTGAGAGCCTACAACCTGGGCCTTGACACTTGACTATGCTCCCTGAAATGTGTCCTGATCATGCTTGTTTTCCCTTTGTCACAGGAGGACTGTGCCCAGGGTCCAATGATCCTTGTGTGGAGAAACCATGTCCAGATGACATGCAATGTGTGAGTTATGAAGCCAGCAGAAGACCATTCCTCTGCCAGTGTCCTCCTGGGAAGCTTGGAGAGTGCTCAGGTACAGACTGGCTTGCGACCCATCGGCATCTAATTTCCTATTCTGAAACACTTGTCCTTGAGTAAATGTCTGCCCGGGCCTTTCCAGCAGACATGTCTGTGTGCGCAACACTTTATTTCAGAATGGGGCACAGCTGACACCCTCATGTTTAGCTGGGACGTGTGACAGCTGCACTCCGTGCTAAGGGAACATGTAAAGATGGGCTCCGTATGTGAAGGGGCGGCCCCAGCACCTGTCCTCATCAAGCCAAGCCCTGCCACTGCCAGCCTCCCTTTCTGCCAGTCTTTCTATGCAGAGCTTTGCCTTGATGAGGACTTACACTCACCTGCTTTATTCCCATACGTCTACCTTTTGTTCCTGCAAGGCCATTGCTCTGTTTACTGCAACATTAAGCAAGAGAAATGTTTCAAGTAGATGGTAAACTCAGAATCAGATGAACTCAGAACTGGACAGTATGGGTTGGACTACAGATTCTGAGAAGGGCAACTTGTCTTTGGTGTGCCCCTGCCAGTGCTCTGGAGAATTGCCTCACTTTGCTCTAAGTACTTCTTCTAATTCTCAAGCTTAAGCCATTATTAAAATATGTTTGATAAAACTGCCTACCTGCTTCATAAAAGTAAATAAGAGATGGGAAGGGAAGCCTTACAGTTTACGATGGGGAAGTGGGACTGTGCCCTGCAGGACCTCCCACATCAGCTCAGCACCAGCATGACTGATGTCACGTGGTTATTTGGTGTTAGGATATTTGTGGAATGTAAGTATTATGCAAAAGTAGTTTCATTGGCTTTTCTTTGTTTCACAGAATTGGAAATTCCTTTGTTGTTTTTATTAATCTGATTTATACTAGGAGGTGTTGAATTTAGGACCATGTGCTAGAAGTGCTCTCCCCTAGTTACAGCTCTCTTCTGAACTTTTCTTTTGTAAGGCAGAACCTCTCTAAGTTATCTAGGCTGGCAGTGAACTCACTGTACAGTCTAGACAGGCCTTGACCTTGAGAGCCTCCGGTGGTCGCCTCCCTAGTTGCTGCTGGGATTACTGGCCTATGCCACCAGACCCAGCTAAGCTCTTGAGTGTCTGAGGGAAGGCAGTGGTGGAGGAAGGAACGGAAGGGTATCTTTCAGAAATGCTAATTTTAGAAAGTCAGAGTTGAGAATCTAATGACAGTAAGAAAATCCGCATTATGGCATTTACTAAACTGCTCTGAGCATGAAACACCTGTGGTGTCTGGGTAGCTGAATAGCTAATAACTTAATGATTTGAAAGGCGAACCAGTTTTAATCAAAGCCAGCATCTAGATGCCATCCTTAACTTCCTGTGGTCTTTAATCTGCATTCCTGGTGGCGTGGGGTGGCTTCATGGGGCCCCCCCGCTCATGTCTGGATCTTAAAGGAACAGCATGTCGTTGGAATGGTCTTTTCAGGACACACTTCCCTCAGCTTTGCCGGAAACAGTTACATCAAGTATCGGCTTTCTGAAAGGAGCAAAGAAGAGCACTTCAAGCTGGCTCTGCGCCTAAGAACCCTGCAAAGCAACGGGATCATAATGTATGCCCGGGTGAACCCCTGCATGATTCTGAAGGTTCGTGAAGGAGGTGCATTCCTCTGCAGCTTAACTTTTTCTTATTTGTTATTGTTGAAATGGATTCTCACATTGGAGCCCAAGATAGCTTCAAACTCAGAACAATCCTCCTGCCTCAGCCTCCCAGGGGCTGAGATTATGGGTGTGAACCACCACACCCAGCCTGCAGCTAGTTCATATGTATTTGTGTGTGGTACATTTGTATGTTGGCTCTTAAGCTGGGAGATGCTGAGATTATTTTGTCTTTTGAGTTTAGAAGACCAGAGTGGAGTTTAGGACAAAGGAGACAGCAGCAGGGTTTTGCACCAATGCCCCACTCTTTGGCTAGTTCAATCACAAAACAGCTGGTGGAGATTGGGTATCTACCAAAAGAGAGCAGGAAGACCCGCCCCTGTGAGCTGCAGTCACTCCGCAGCTCGTGAGCAGCTCTCTGTTCTCACCTCCCAGACTAGCTGTGCTGTGGCTCAGGGAGGAACATCCAGGGCTGGAGAACAAACATTCCACATAACCCATCATGATCCAAACTGCCTGATTTTCAAATCCTTTCCTGGCCTCAGGGGCCCTGCTAAGGCAGTCAGATTTCCTGCAGAGCAAACGTGGCATTTGTATGCAGCTAGGGGCACCTCCTGTACAGCACTAAGACTGCTAACAGAGTGATCTGCATCTTTAAATTTAACTCTAATATAAATTTGTTAAATATTATCATCCCTTCTCACTAGACCAAAACAGCTGTTCTGAGAGTTGGAGTCATTTCCCCAATTGCCTAGTTAATAAGTGGTGAGGCCTGACCCCAGACCCGCTGTCTCCTCTTCATCCACACCCTCTCCTCTGCGCTCCCTCAACACTGCCATTCATTTTGACATGGATCACATTATATGCATCTAGAGACCAGATTCAGCCTCCTGGTGTGGGGACATGGGGAAAACGAGGTTCAGCCTCCTGGTCTGAAGGGGATGGGGAGACCAGATTCAACCTCTTGGTCTGAGGGGATGGGGGGACCAGTCCTCTGGTTGGAGGGCACAGAAGAGATCAGATCCGCCTCCTGGTCTGACATGGGGAGACCAGGCCTCTGGTTGGAGGGCACAGAAGAGATCAGATCCGCCTCCTGGTCTGACTTGGGGAGACGTGCTTCCTCTGATGCCCTCACCAGGTTTTGATTCCAGCCATTACTCTTTAGAGGCCTTGGGAGCCTGTTAGGTGAGAACACCTCCCAAAAGGAATACCTGGAAGTCTAACTCTCTGCAGGGCTTGGGCATCTCTAGGACCACGTGGCCCTTTTAGCTCCAATCTTTGTTTGAACGGCACATCTATGCTGATCAGAGGGCCCGAGCCATCATCCTAAAGGCAGCTGAGGAAAGACAGAAGTGAGCAGTTATGGGGTGCCAGGGCCTCTCCTAACGAGGATACCAGCTTTAGTTTACCCACTTGCTGTATTGCCAAGTATGACCTGGTGTCGAGGACCAAGTAAGCAAAGTCAAAGTTAGAATGTCAGCCACGTTTATAGGAAATCTCTCCTTAACTTTATGTACACAACTCAGAGAACAATTTCAGGTTGGGAACAGAAAGCAACATGGTTTTAAAAGAATGTAAGAGAGTGACCATAGATAGTTTGGAGGGGAAATGCATTCAAACCAGATACTTGTCAAAGAAGAATAATTTAAAAACCCAAGTCCTGTCAAATGTACTGGCACAGGCCTTTAATCCAGGCACTCAGGAGGCAGAGGCAGGTGGATATCTGTGAGACACAGGCCAGCCTAGTCTACATAGTGAGATCCAGGTCAGCTGGGGCTGTAGGGAGACCTTGTCTCAAAAAACAAGAAACACACACACACACACACACACACACACACACACACCTAAGCCCTGTTGTTCCCTCTCCTGTCCCAAGAAGCAACTGCTGTGGGTCCATAAATCACTTTCTCAGCAACCTTGCGAGGTAGGTTTCTGTGTGGTGGCTGGGAAGGGGCCATGCCTGTTTGGAGCCACCAGGCTCTACGGTCTGTGGCCTTCCCTTCCCTCTCTCGAGCTTGGGGGCTACTCTGAAGCTGATACTTTCTGTCTGCTAATCTCTGTAGAGCTCTAACCTAAGGGAGAGGAGATTAGATAGGACAGGGTTGGCTCTGAAAGGGAGCTTGTCCTGTGCACTCCCTGGAAAGTGTGTACCTTGTGCAGTTCTCTGGGGGTAGGAGAAGAGAATCAGACCTCTGAGGCAGCACTCACAACAGGGCATCTGACACTTCATGAAATGAGTATGTTTCTGAGGGTGTGTAACTGAATTTCTATAGATGGAGGACTGGAGCTGGTTTCTATTTGAAGGAACCCTCTGTGAATGCCTTGGGGATGTGGGTCATTATCTTTACCCCACTCTGTTGTATAAGTTTGTTTTTTTCACGTGCTGGGTTTGCCTAAAGCAGACGCAGCTGTTCTGAACTATGGCAGCAGCATCTGCCTAGGGTATCGGAATGTATTTGCTGAACCCTTGAGCCTCATGCGAGATTTAACCACACTGGCTTGAGGTACACTATGTGCCCTGTGCTTTGGTTCAGCTAGTAAGCTGGAATGCTTCACTTAAATGGCACCTCTTGGTTGTCTGTATTCCCTGAGAATGTTCTGTAAAGTGTAGTTCAAGCAGTGAGGTTGGGGGGGACCTCCCCTGGCATCGGTTCGAGAGCTGTGAGGAGACCTGGGGAGAGGAGGACGCCCATGGACAGAGGAGCCACTGGCTCCCAGATGTAACATAAAGTGCTCGTCCCTCTGCCTTCCATTAATGCCCTGGCTCCTGAGTGAGATTCAGTGCTTATCATAAACATCCAAATGCACGATGATCAAAGCACCGTTGAGATGAGAGAAAAGGTTAAGAACCAATCAATGAAGTTGAAAGGAGTAAAATAACAATGATTTAAAAAAAAACTAGAGGAGCTTCACCAACTGAGCATGTTAGCATTTCCTTGTGAACAGCATAATAGTATAAACAGTGGCTGTGCTCTCATAGCTACAGGACAAACTGGCCAGATTTCCATAAAAGACGTGAGGAGACGTTGCAACAGCCAGACACTTCCTCCATGTTCCTCCTTTAGATCCAGTGGGAAAATACGAGAAGATCTTGGTTGCTAATCTAGAATTATCAAGGGTTTCATCCCTGAGGAAAGTTAGAGGTGAAACCATCCTTCATTCTGAAGATCACAGATATTGCTAACCTGCTATGTCAGAGCTGAAAGGAAGACAGGGTGGGTTGCTAAGTATGTGCAGTTTGAGGAGCAGTCATTGTGGTAGGGCTTTTCACCACAGAACAGAGAGATACCAAGGAGGCTTTGCCCTCACAGAGCACTTCCACACCAGAGACACTTACCAAGTGATTTCCAGTGGACAGAGCGTCTGGGTGACAGGCCGGCAGGGTAGCCATTCTGTAGGTGGTAAGAAGAGGCCCTGGGACTGGGACCATCGTGGAACCATTTATTCCTTCAAAATGGATTTCTTCCTATGTGTCAGGCAGCTATTAACAGTGGCTTTGAACATAGGTTTTTGAAAGATCTCCTTTGCAGAGACTATTTAATATTTAATAGCCCGTGTAATGGCTGGTTTAGATCGAACTTGATTAGACTTAGAAGGACTTTGGGGATGGGTGAGGCACATTTTTAGGCGTGGCTGTGCAAGTGTTTTCAGAGAGGATTTCCTGAGGAAGAAAGACTCACCTTGACTGGTCCCAGCACTCCATGGCCTGGGGGCCCAAGGGGTAAAACAGGAGAAAAGACAAAGCCAGGCCCTGGCTCCACCTGCTCTGCTTCCTGGCCACAGTGGCATGAGCTTCTGCTCTCCCCCATCCTCCCCACTAGCCTGGCTTTCACCCTCTGAAGTAAGTCCTTCCCTCATGCTGTTTCTGTGAAACATTTTGGTTACAACCTTAATAAAGCTAAGGGGTACAGCCCTTTGGCAAGGCTCATGATATACTGAACCCCACAGAGCCACACCCTAAGGATCAGAAGCAAATAAGACCATAATTAACACATTTAAGTAAAAATTCCTACTTTCCCACAAAAATGACTTTTATGGGTCTGATTTTGTGCCTCTGAAGCCACAGAGGATTGAAAACAGTGACAGGGAACACCATTGGCTTCAAACAATGTGGATACTTTGTAACATTAGGATGAGCACTCTGTCAATCACAATGTCATTGAACCTGCTCCTGACACAGAAATCATTTCAGAGACTTACGGACTTCTCTCACAGCTGAGGCACACCTCAGATTCCACTGAAATGTCTCATCTTCTGATTTAAGGAAGCTACCTTTTTCTTTTTTTTTCCTTCTTTCTTTTTTCAAAGACAGATTCTTTAGAACTCAGTAGAGACAGAAAAAGTAAATATGATCAGAACATAGGTTTCAGGTTTGATAAGGACTTGAGTACTGGGAGAGGATAAAGTGATGTTTTCTGTCCCTGGCATAACATAGCTTCAAAATAGGAAAAGAGTACTAAGTTTCACAAGGTACTTTGCATCAACATTCTAGAGCATCATAAAACAAGGCTGCTGATTCCAAACTCCTAGAATTGTGAGATCCAGATGAGCTTTGTAGAAAGGTGAGAACTGTGTAAGAACCTGGCCTTGTTCATCAAACCATGTTACTGCTATTACTTTTTTGAAAGGAAAAGAAGGGAACACCGTGCACAGTATTCATGAGGCATAACTTTATGTTCCTTAGCTACAGAAGTTCAATGCTGTGAGTGTAACAGACCCATGTCAGCTATTTTGCTGAGTGTTCAGAGGCAGGAGGTAGTGGTGGGGAGAAAGGATGGACCAAATAATACATTAATTGAACATATTTTTATTAAAACTTACTCAAATCACACCTTCAGCACAAGATTTCCCATGATTGACTCCGAACAGCCTTTCGTAGCCAGGAGCAAAACAGTGGACAGCCCGAAGCAGAAGGTGTCTCCCAAGCTGCATTGTGTCAGTTTGTTACTTACACTTAAACACAGATGTGGCTATAACCCACAAATTGTCATTGCTGAGCAAGTAATTTACAATCACTATTCATTCTATTTTAGTGAACCAAGAAAAAAAAAGCAATTGCATACGATTATAGGTGAAAGCTCTCTGTCAGTAAATGTTTGTTTTCAGTCCTTTTACATCTAAACATTTATAATACTGAGCAGAGAGTGTGTGTACATGTGTACGCATGTCTCATGTGCATGTGTTCCTGTATGTATTGTGTATAATTGGACATCCACATGCTTGTGTGTTCATGTTGCATCATGTCTGATGTGGCCAGCCATCCTGCAGCCAGCACAGCATCCTCATCAAAGTAAACCACAGTGGCTTTTTGTTCTCCAAGCCCAAACACGGCAAGGTGGAGTCGTGCTCACCCCAGGCCCAGGCGGTCCCCTCCGAGCTGGGACTAGGCTCCGCATTCCCTGCTCTGCCTAGCTCTCGAAGCCCCCGTCTTCCACATGTTTCACTTTTACGTGGCACAACCTGTGTATTTGCCATGCCGATGAAAAACTCCTCAAAGCCACAGAGCAGAAGTGAGGGACACTGCAGGTTATTTGACTTCGGAGATTCCTGAACACAGAAGCCGTGCGAGGAGTGCTGCTGGGGCAGCTTCTGGTTCTGCCATGAGTAAGACACACTATGCAAAGACCTTAGCTCACCCCTGTGAATGTGTCTAGTACATGTCTCTTTAGCTGCTGGTGACCCAAAAGGAGCCTCCACACTGGCTTTTCCTGTTATTTCTTTCTTTTTACTTTTCTTCTCTTGACAAATGTCTGTACCCTGCACAGAAGTATAGGTGCTAGCATGCCTGAGGACAGACAGACAGCTCTTCTTTCACAACTGGGACACTACTCCATGGGATCATCTGGTAGACCTTAGACAGAATCCATGAAAAAGGCTTTTGTCTCAATGTCCAGCTGTCAATCCCTTCATGGCCAGATATAAGCTTGGCTATGCAAGAGTCGAGCCCTCATCCTTTCCATCCTAGAGTCACCTAACATTTCAGAGAAATACAGACTAGAGAGGAGTCAGTGGGTCAAAGGACAATTCCTCAGCAGCAGAAGAGGCTGGGTATACATGAAGGATGGAGACTGCCCAGTGCCATCAGCTGGCAGCCATCAATGCTGCACTTTTGTTTCCTGCTGGTCATGTCCCTGTGTTTGGGGGGACATGGTGGATGCCTTTCCTGCTCTAGAAGAATCAAGGGGAGCCTCATGTCTCTACCTCAGCACCTTGACTAGGGTTGGGACCATCTTCAACCTGTCAACAGCTGACCAAAAGTCCCAGATATTAAATACGCATAAACTCTAAGCCAGAATGTCTAATTCACAGCTCATGTACCCCAGTTTAGCTATGAATGCAGTCCAACACAAAACTGAAAATTTACTTAAGACATTATGAAATGTTTTGTTTTATAACTCAATCGTGTAGTTCTAGAGTGTGAACTTTATATTTCTATAGGTGACAACATCATGTCCCAATATCACTTATAATAAATGTTTGTATGCTTTTGTAAACCATGGGTTGGACTGCAAATTGGACATCCCTGGGTTACACGTGTGGCCCAAGATGGTTCTTTTTTTGTGCAGTGTGGCCCAGAGAAGACAAAAGTTTGGACAGCCCTGCTGTATCCAGTATCCAAGCCTGGATACTCTGTGAGCTTTTTGTCTAAATGATGAACTCCGTATGAAAAGGCTAAGAATAACACCAGTGGGGGGCTGAAGAGATGGCTTAGGGCTAAGAGCTCTGCCTACTCTTGCAGAGGACCCGGGTTTGGTTTCCAGCACCCACTTGTGGCTAACAACCATCTGTAACTCCTCTTCCAGGGGATATGATGCCCTCTTCTGGCCTCTATGGGCACTGCATGCATGGGCGCAGGTACATACACAGCCGAAGAACACTAATACATATAAAATAAACAAACAAGTAAACAATTAAAAATAATAGCACCAGTGTTTAACATAGTCTTAAAATCCGAAATATATACAGAGCTGGAAAGAAGGGACTCTTTGCTTCTGTCTGTCTTTCTCTCCCTACATCACACTCACACAAACTTGATGGGGAGTATGTATGTAGTTTGTGTGCTGAGTTAACATGTAACCACCTCCCCACTGGACTAGAATCCCCAGGAGGGTAGAGCAGATCACTGTAACTCACTGCCCCCACATGGTGGGTGTCCAGTGAATGCGAGTTCACAGAAATCATACCTGTGGTAGAATAGGGTGCAGCGAGAAAGCTCACTTGCCTCTGAACAAGACGCTGCTGTGAGTTTTTAAAGGAGGGTGACTCAAAGGTAGAAACATCCCTCAATAGACTGTGGGCTTCCCAGCTGGTCCAGTCACCGACTGTGGGAAGATCTGCGGAGTTGTGGGCCTGTACTCCCCTGGCACACAGCGGGGGGGGGGGGGGGGGGGGTGCACGCCCGGGTGGCATCTGCCTGGTTGGCACCACAGCGTTTCAGACCTCGACTCATCCGCAGTCCCTCTCACACAGATTCTGGACGGCAAGCTGTGGTTCCAGCTGGACTGCGGCAGTGGCCCCGGGATCCTGGGCATCTCTGGCCGCGCGGTCAACGACGGCAGCTGGCACTCGGTGTTCCTGGAGCTGAATCGTAACTTCACCAGCCTGGCCCTGGACGACAGCTACGTGGAGCGGCGCAGGGCTCCGCTGTACTTCCAGACCCTGAGCCCCGACAGCTCCATCTTCTTCGGCGCCCTGGTGCAGGCGGATAACGTCCGCAGCCTGACCGACACCCGAGTCACGCAGGTGCTGGGAGGCTTCCAGGGCTGCCTGGACTCGGTGGTGCTGAACCACAACGAGCTGCCGCTGCAGAACAAGCGAAGCAGCTTTGCGGAGGTCGTGGGCCTGACGGAGCTGAAGCTGGGCTGTGTGCTCTACCCAGACGCGTGCCAGCGGAGCCCGTGTCTACACGGGGGCAGCTGCAGCGGCCTGCCCTCCGGCGGTGAGTCCACAGGGCGCAGGCCCTTGGGAACAGGAGGGTGTGCACCTGCGGGAGGCCCACTTCCTGAGAACCACCCTGCAGAGGGTACCAGAGCGTCTGTCCTCTGCCTGTCCCCTAGAAGCTTCGGAGCTCGATGGACAGTTACAGGCTGTTCAGGTTAGCCAGGCACTGGCTGCATCCCGTAGACTCATGCGTGGTCAGACCGTAGGTGCCACCACCCGCTTCCGCGCCCCTACCCTCTGGACACCCTTCCAGACTGCAGGTGCTTAGACTGGTAGGACCTTGTAAGTTGTGACATCATCATCCAGCTGCTGTTGCTGCAGCAAGACGGGCTGTCTGAGCTCAGCACACTGACTGGAACTCTGACCAGGCTTGGATATAATTTTACCGGAAGCTAAAGGGGGTGTGGAGTGAACCTCACTCCCCAGGAATAGGATCAGAGTGAAGGTCTTTGGAGCATACTTTTGAAATATGCTTTGAAAATAACCATAATCTCAGCTCTACAAAGAAGTGGAGACTCAAAAATGAGCGGGCCAACAAGGCCTGAATTTGATCTCTGGAACCCATATATAAAAAGCCAGGCACAGTGGCATGTGTCTGTAATCCCAGCACTAGAGAGGAAGAGCCCGGTTCACTGGCCTGTCAGTGTAGCCTATGTGATGAGTTTGTTCCAACCTAGGGAAAGACCCTATATCGAAAAAAA